AGGGTCTAGGGTTTAGGGTCACAAGGTTTAAGGTTTTTTTGGTGGAGAGTTTAGGCTTTGGGGTATGCAAGTGATGCATCCTTTCTTGGGAGGCCTTTCGAATGGGAGCTTACAGTGCTGTTTATGGTAGAGGTGGGTGGCTTCCATGGTAGATGAGTACCCAACCCAAGCCAGCATGCAAAGCCAAGTAGCATTAGCATATGAATAAACCCACCATAGGCCTGACGACCGTAATTAGTAGAGATACTGCGGTGGAAACATTCCTGCGGGCTCTGGAGTTTCCTTTTTTCACTTCCCAGGCCTTCCTGTACACACCATCCCCTAAAACCATAACCCTAAACCCTATATAATCCCTATATAACCCCATTATTATAGTAGTTTGCACTTCCTTTTCCATTCTCCTATATAACCCCCACTTTGGAATGGCTGTCGAAGGCATCAAGCTACCAAGCAGGCTTGGGTCATTAAGCCTTGGGGATGACTTCAACCAGAGCCTGCACGGCATCATGCTGCCAAGCACATTGCAGTCACTGACTTTCGGCTACATGTTCAACCAAAGTCTGGAAGGAGTCACCTTGCCGAACGGCCTGCAAGCACTTATCTTTGGATACAACTTCGACAGGAGTTTGCAAGGTGTAGTGCTGCCTGATGGCCTGCAGGCACTGACATTTGGCTTTGCCTTCAACCAGAGTTTAGAAGGCGTGGTGCTACCGAGCAACCTAAAGACGTTGACTTTCGGCTACTCATACAACCAGAGCCTGGAGCGTGTGAGGCTACCAAGTATCTTGCAGACGTTGACATTTGGTTATCAGTTCGACCGAAGCCTGGAAGGCATCACGCTGCCGAGCAGCCTGTTGAACTTGACCTTTGAAGGTAAGTTTAACCAGGACTTTGGTGCTGTCATGTTGCCAAGTGGTCTGCAGACGTTGTGCTTTGGCTTCAGTTTTGCCCAGAGTCTGGCGGGTATCAGCCTACCAGGCAGCTTGGAGACGTTGATCTTCGGCGCCATGTTCAACAAAAGTCTAGCCGGTGTCACTTTACCAAGCAACCTGCAAACGTTGACATTTGGCATGATGTTCAACCAGAGCTTGAGAGAAGTCCTTCTGCCTAGCGGCCTACAGACACTGCGCTTTGAAGATTACTGGTACCAGTGCCTGGAAGGCGTCAACTTGCCGAGCACACTACAGACATTGAAGTTCGACAATACTTGTATGGTTGTTCGGGCAGGAATCACTCTACCATGCAGCCTGCAGAAACTACATTTGGGCGACAATTTCAATCAGCGTCTGGCGGGTGTCACTTTCCCTAGCTGCCTGCAAACATTGAAATTTGGCGATGAGTTCAACCAAAGTCTCGAAGGCATCACGCTCCCGAGCAATTTGAAGACACTATCTTTTGGCCAAGGGTTTGATCAGAGTCTGGCAGGTGTTATATTGCCGGGCGGTCTGCAGACATTGCAGTTTGGCTTTAGTTTCGCCCAGAGCCTGGAAGGTGTTAGCTTACCAAGCAGTTTGGAGACGTTGATTTTCGGCGCCATGTTCAACGAAAGTCTAGCCGGTATAACTTTACCGAGCAACCTGCAAACGTTGACCTTTGGCATGATGTTCAACCAGAGTCTCCGAGGTGTCCCTTTGCCCAGCCGCCTACAGACATTGAACTTTGGAGATAGCTATAACCAGAGTCTGGAAGGCGTTTCCTTGCCGAGCGCCCTGAAGACATTGATTTTCGGCGACGCGTTCAACCAAAGTCTGGAATATGTCGCATTGCCAAGCAGCTTGAAGACGCTGGCCTTTGGCCAGGAATTCAATCAGAGTCTGGAAGCTGTTGCATGGCCCGGCTGCCTTCAAACATTGGTATTGGGCCAAGAGTTCAACCACAGTTTGGAATCCGTGGAGTTACCAAACAGCTTAGTGGAGTTTGGCTGCAGTTTCCTTCACGTTTGCGTCCATGCTTCAGACTGAACTAGTTCTCATTCACTTCGTCGCCTCCAAGGTGTCGAATCCTTTCCGTCCTGCTGAGTCTGCTGATCTACCATGGGGGGTCCCGAAACATGTTGCCCTTTTCGCGGACTTGAATGCTGTGTGGCCTCTTTGTGCCGTGTCCAAGGGCGGGTAGCACCGCAGTAAAGTCCCACAAATCCCTTCCTCTTGATGTTCCTGGCCTCCCACAAGCGACCACACCACAATTCAGTTCCCGGAGTAGTAATGTAGACCCCTGATTAACAAACCCCCTCCCCTTTAATAGGGTTTATGATATGGATCCTAATATTTAGGCCCTTAAAGCGAGGGTTTATTAATCATGGGTCTACGTGAGGACTCAGGTTCTAAACGCACATCAACAAGAACCCAGTTAGGATCGAGCAAGACCCTTGGCCATGAGCCCGCCCTAACTGGCTACGGAAGCCTAGAAGCCTGAAGCTCTGCAACCGTTAGGGTTTAGGGATTTTTCAAGGGTTTGGGGGTAAAGACTTCAGGGATTAACCTTGAATCCTACCAAACCCTAAACCCTGGTTTAGGGGTTGAGAGTCGAGGGTTTATCCTAAAAATCCAGCAATGGTTTCCATTTTCTTTTCCATCATCCCAATATAACCCCCATCCCTAAACCCTAAACCCACAAACCTCCATCCTAAACACTCCAGACTGACGGCGTGCAACTTCGAAGCCAAGCGCCCTAAATGGTAGTTCCCCAAAATAAGGGGACCCCAAAATAGACCCCATATTATAGGATCCTTAGTACAGGGACCCCCAAAAAGAGTACCCATAATTTGGGAAACCCTAAACCCTAAACCCTATATCCCTATATCCCTATATAATCCCTATATAATCCCCACATAAGCCCTATATAACCCCTATAACCCCTCCTTTTAAAGGGTACCCTAAGTTTGGGAAACCCCTAAATCCTACAGCCTCAATGGCCGCAGCTCTACAGTGGCAAAAGCCCCCCCCCCCTCCAAAAAAAAATGCACCAAATCAAGGTCAAAGGATTATGAAGGGTTTAGGGCTGTAGGGATTTAGGGTTTTGGGGTTTAGGGTTTTAGGGTTTTAGGGTTTAGGGATTTAGGGTTTAGGGATGTAGGTTTTAGGGTTTAGTATTTAGGGTTTAGGGTTTAGGGCTTAGGGTTTAGGGATTTAGGGTTTGGGCTTTAGGGATTTAGGGTTTAGGGGGCAACTGCTAATAATTGATTTTCAGAATCCTGCATGTCCCCATGAACCTTTTCGATTCTGTGGTGAGCAGTATTATTAAACTAAACAGGAGCTTCGCAATATGACCGTACTTTAAGAGATGCCCGATTCCAAAGGAATCGAGCCCGTTATACCCTTTCAAGCCCTAAAACCTTCAAACGCAAGGGTTTAGGGTGTAAGGCTTCCAAAACCTGAACGCCCATTTCGGGGTTGATTGTTTAGGGGGAACCTTAGTGTGTGGACACAGCAAGCCTTCAGCAAAAGGGGAACCCTAGTAAAACCGAAAATCCACCTGCTGCAAGAGAGCAAAGGTCGGAGTAAGGAGATTATGGCCGTCGGCGAGGCGCGATGGCACGGTTTATTACGAATAGCACGAGTAGCAGAGTAGCAGTTTTAGTGATAGCCGTATGAGCGAATCGTGATAATTCGTAGCAGAAGTGATAGTCGTAGCGATAGTGATAATCATGATCAGGGTATTAGTAGAGCGTAATCATTAGCAGCAATGGTGGCAGTAGTAGCGATAGTACAAGTTATGCTAATGGTATTGGTGAATCACAATAATACTAGGAATAGCATGGGAGCGTAGGGTTTAAGGGCTTAGAGGTAAGCAGAGACCCAAGAGAAAGAGGTTAAAGCGGGGTCAAACTTGGCTTTTGCGTCGGCGCTCCATATTCTGAGGACAGGGCGCAACAAGCAGAGACCCAAATCCCTACAAAGAGCCTAGGTGCTAAACTGGTGAAGCTTTACCAGCAAATCGGGCTTCCATAGCCCCAGGACGCATAGTATGACCAGCATATAACTATACAAGGGTCCTCTTTTTGCGGGGTTGTTGATACCAAAAGCTTCCTATGGTTCACGGAAGTACGTCAAGCGTTTAGCCCTGCCCCACCCCCACCCGCTTCACAGCGGCCCATCTTTGATCTTGGGTTCCCTAAGCCCGAACCTGTAAACCCTACCCTCCACCCAGCTGCCCAATCCAATCCAGAGAGAAGCCGCCAGCAAAGCCGAAACCCCTAAACACCCTAAACCCCTGAACACCTCAAACCCCCAAGCACCCTTCATCGTTAAACGCCTAAGCCCCATAAACCCTAAACTCCTAAGCCCTATGAAGGAATGGATCCTTGTATAAGTCCCTACATAACCCACTTAAGTAGTTTCCATTTCTTTTCAATCCTGAACCCTAAACCCGATATAACTCATTATAGTAGCGTCCTTTTTCCTTTCCATTCCTAAATCCTAAACCCCTAAACCCTAAACCCCTAAACCCTAAACCCTAAAACGCTAAACCCCAAACCCTAAACCCAAACCCCAAACCCTAAACCCTAAATGCAGATCTTCCTGGAGTTGTTGAAGCCAGCAGAGGAAGCCCACACCATCGTCGGGCCATCGCGCTTGATAGGGAAGTTTCCCTAGGGTTTAGGGTGTCTTATTGGGGTTATATAGGGATAATGGAAATAAGATGGAAACTACTAAATTAGTTTAGGGTGTAGGGTTCAGGGTTTAGGGCTTAGGGTTCAGGGTTTAGGGTGTAGGCTTCAGGGTTTAGGGCTTAGGGTGTAGGGTTTAGGGTTAGGGTAGCGGTAGCCTGTGGGGGGGGTAGAATTATGTTTGGAAAGTACCATAACTAACATGCCCTTAGATAAGGTATTCCCTTAAGATGTATGTACGTATACAGAACTACATAAGTTGTATGCATATGCATATCATATATATATATACATACGTATATGCACATGGGTGTGTAGATGCTTGTGCTATAGTGAAGATATTCTTTATGCAGCACAGTGAGGGGTTTGGTTATGAGGCGGGGTAGCACTGAAAGCGTTCAGGGAGAAGACATGTAGGGGTTTCTCAAACTAGGGGTACCATTTTAGGGGTGCCTATATAATAAGGACTATAGTGTTAGGGGATTTATATTGAGGTCACCCTTACTTTGGGAAACTACGGAAACTACCATGTAGCTGTGCCAGGAAAATCTTTTAGCGGAGTAACTCTTTTCTGCAGCTTTTCTTCAGTAAGCTTATCAAAAGAGATTCGGGTAGACCACATTGGGTTTACGGGTTTAGAGTTTTGGGCCTGAGTCTTGCTACCTCACTCTGAAATGGGGCACACATCAGACTTGAGGTTACATTGAGCTTATTTGGGCCTAGGTTGGTGCAAGTAAGGAACAGGTTGTTACGCGGTTTAGGGTTTAGGGTTGAGGGCTACTTCCAGGCGGCATCCATCGGAAGCCTGCTGCAATAAAGGGTTCAGGGTTCAGGGCCACCGCGGAAGCTTACGCAAGTCTTTGGCATCAGATCACCTATTTTGCTTTCAAGGATGTGACATTGTTGTATGCGGTTGTTTCCGTAGATTTGCTGGGAGTTCAGCCAGCAGCGCTGTATGATGGGTGCCCTTCAGTCTGGCAGGGCCTGCGGGAGCCAAGATGCAAAAAGTACCCTAAACCCTACACCCCCCCCTAAACTCTAGAAAGTTAACGCGCGTGCTTCAAAATTATCGCGTTTCAAGAAACTACGTGAGCTATGGGTCTTGTGCCATGTCCAAAATCCCTTAGAATTTTGGGTCGCCGCCCATGCTTCAAAATGATCGCGCTTCAAAATTTAAGAAACTACGTTAGCTGTGCACCTTGTGCCACGTGCAAAATCCCCTAGAGTTTGGGGTCGTCGCGCATGCTTCAAAATTTTTGCATTTCAGAATTTTATTTTAAGAAATTTCCTTAGCTGTGGATCTTGTGCCGTGGCAGTTTAGATGCACCCTAAACCCGAAACCCTATGTTTACGCCCCCCCCCCCCCCTTATTTGCCCGCGCCGCCAAATGCCCGCTCATCAGAATGTGCTGCGTATGGCAGTGTTTTGGTGGTTGTGGATGTGGTCGAAGTGAACGTCATTATGGGTGCCGGCATGGATTCACTCGTCGTGGATGTGGTCGAAGTGAACGTTATTATGGTTGCCGGCATGCATTCGCTAGTATCTGATTTCGCTGTAAATAACAGTAATCTTGCAGTTGTGGAAGTATTTATA